TAAAAGCGTCAAAAACAGGAAAACACTTTTGTACTGGTTTCTGTTGGATAACAACATTAACATTAATAAGATGAGTAACCATACGATGAACAACCACATCTATAAAATGAACAACTAAGTCTCACAGCAGAAATCTAGGTTGAAGTTAGAGAACATCAATCCAGAAATGAACATCAAACAAAATCAACAGCACTATACAGGATGAGTATTAAAGCATGCAGGATGAACAACCTAACATTTCTCTGTCGAGATGAGCATTGAAGCATACATGATGAACATCGAAGCATACAAGATGAGCATCGAATCATACATGATGAGCGACCATACAAACAATACAACAACGTTTAAATGAACAACTGAGCATCACATGATGAACAATAATCCATATCTAATGCACTAATAAAATCTCCAAAATGAACAACTGAGTCTAACGAACAACTGGTAAATTCTCCCCCCTCCCTTAATCCCCAACCACCCTGAAGTGAAGTCAGTGCAGAGATAGAGATTCAGCAACAAAACAAAATCGACAAATTACTCATAGGCCAACTAAATAATCAAAATATTGCCCTTCACTAATAAGATCAATAAAATTGCACCTCAGATTCCAAACAGAGCTCCGCTTCGAACCTAGAAAAACAATAACAAAGCAGGGGAAAACTGTACTTTCTCCAAACTACTCAAATTCTAATTCTTCAAAAAAAAAAAAATCCAGATCTGAATAAAGTAATGTTCATTTTGAAAAAAAGGATACTTACTCTGATATCGGGGGCTTGATTTTGTGTTTTTCACCGTCAGAAGATTCACCCAACGGAGTTTTTGAAAATCCCGGTACAAAATTAATCGGACGAAGGTGTGAAGTGCGTTTTGTAACGACCAGAGAGATATTTCTAGCAGATTTAGCAGACAGAATCTTGGGGATTGGGGAGGAAATTCGCCGGAGGAAGTTATGTCGGAGATTTGGAGTGAAAAATCGCCAGCGGATTTTGGGAGAAATCTTGTAAAAAAATTTTATTTTTTAAAAAAATCATGACTATTTATATTTTTTCAATTTAAACGGTGGTATTTTTATAATTAACAGAAAGTTGGGCACAAGTGAGGTGTTGTGAGCGCGTGTGATATAAACTAGGAGCTCCCTAATTAAGTTGCTCTGGTGTCCCATGTATTAATTGGTATCATCAGATGGGTTTCGATTTGATGCTAGTTGGTTGACATTCGTACCGTGAAATGTTGACTCACGATGGCAGGACTACAAAGCTAGTCCGGATCGCCTCTGATCACCACTTGCCAAGCAAAAATGCGTCACTGCCTTAGTCAATAGTCACCGTTGGTGCCGCTGTTTCCCGTGAATTCCGAGGACTTGTCACTTGTCAGTACAATTAACATGTAAAGGGTTTTTGGAGATTAAACGTGTTTATGGGGAGAGATTAATTTTATGGTCGATTTTTTTGATAATGTTGGCAACTCATGATCGTGAAAGTTTACAATTAATACCTTGAAGGTCCCCCGTTTGAGGTTAAATTATAATCGGAACATAATGTAATATGAATACATCTCATAAATGTGTTAGTTTAGACATTTGCCTCCTTGCTGTGATAATAAAAAATATTGTAAAAGCAGACAACATTTTTCAAATAAATGGTTGAATATGCAAGACGATCCGATGATTATGATCTATGCACCTGTTCCAAAAACTAACTTGCATTTTGATAGTCCTCCACGAGGAGTGATACCATGGTTAGAGTATGATGTTATCGAAACTGTATATCTCTGAGACGTTTGATTATAGGTAGCCTCCACTTATTGTAATAATATATATATATATATATATATCAAAACTTATTATTTTTCTTAGAGAAAAAGAGTAGTATCATTTTATTCTTTTTAGTGATTTAGAACTTGTCGAACATAAATCGGTTACAAAACTGTTGCCCTCTCGTTAAACTCCAATATCCGACAATGAAATTCAACTGAATCAGCAGCAGATTTCCGGTCATTGTGGAAAGTATTTGAGCTAGTGGCTTGAAGCCTCGATCCACCGTTTGAAGGCAATATAGTGACGCAGCCCCTTAGCCCCCAAGTTGTTTTGGAAATTATTGGACCAGCTGATGCTTCTGTGGGCTGCCGGTCATTGCGCCACAACATCATTGCTCCCATTCATCATCATCGCAAGGTGTTATCAAATTGGTAGCACTGAATTTTATCAATATGCACTTTTTTTTTTGTTTTTATTTTTTGTAAAAAAATAGAAGAAGTTAAATAAGGATCCGAGGTGTTTGAATTATGGCTTAGGTGGAGCTTGGCCGTTGAGGGATGGTGAGTTTGGGATTTTGGCATTATAACGTTAGTTTATGTACAAACAACTTGTGAGATTTGGTTTGTGAATAAGAGAGTGGTAATGGTGACAAGGCGATATACTTGGGACATTCACTTATTACTTGTAGGGGTTGGATTGTTGATTTAAAGCATATTTTCAAGATGTCTAACTATGCAGTTGATTACCTTTATATACACAATCATCCATTTATTTGAAATTCTTTTGTTACTTCACAATAGCATTAAACAAGTTTTATGATGATCTATAAATACAAAGATCATTCCGTTTGTGTGAGGGCCTCCGAAGCCCCAGTACGAGAATACAGTCGATGTACGAGTTCATGAACTTAAAAACAAGTAAATTTCCATCTCTCAGTGCAACTCTTTTACTATGATTCGATTCAAATCAACATGTTACTTGCATATTTGATAAAACAGGTTATACGGGTGTCTAACCTAGCGGGCTAATGAGGTGAAGGGGGAATACAAGTTCATACCGTTGGAGTTTCATTCCTCTATAATGTAAAATTCAAGTACTAAACACCATTATAATATGTCGATCACGTCTTTATATCAATGCCTTTTTTCAATATTAATGCTAATATTCATTCATTTCCAAACATTCAAACAATACAAACATGACAACAGTTGGTCTAGCTAAATTATGAGCATTTTTTTGCTATAATCCTATCTACCTTCTCAACTGTCAAAAAAAAAGAGATTTGATTTGAAAATGTTTGCTCCACACAATTTGTGCCTTTGTGGCAGGTAAGGCAGTTCTTTTGTTTTAAATTCACTCATTGCCCCACCACAAGCTGAGAGTTGGATAGAAGTGAAGCCCAAGTCCCAACTCTTTCTGCTGCTCTTGAACAAACCATAAGTATAAACTGAATGCTTGCCCGGGCAAATGCCCGGGGATGTCCTCCCACCTAATAAATTGACATGTAAATAATCAAAACTGATTAGGAATGAATTTAGTTTTTGATGAAGATAATTGATTGATCAAAAATTAATTTTTTCAAAAGTCCTAAATAAGTGGAGAAGGAAAGTTCCATTCACCGTTAAATTCAAAATTTGAATGAACATGGCCATCTGATCTCTTCGTTAATATTGTAAATATATTTTTTGTTTTTAAAAAGGGGTGACACGTGTCAGAATGGTTTATGCAATATGGTGCATTTGGAGCCAAAACATTTTAATAAGAAATTACCACATCAGCATCCTGTTTTCTGTAAAAGAGATATCAGCTTCGATAGCCCAACTTTGGATGAAAGATGGGCCTGAAATAATAAAAGCCCGCAAGTGTAGTCCATTAGTCCAATTCTCGAACAATCTACGAAAGCGTTTCACATATGCATTATTGACAAAACTTCTTTTTTTTTATTATTGTTTAACTTCCATTTTAGGAGATACCAACTTTGGGAGTCATGCACTTTTTCTATTCCAAAATTAATATTCTTTTTAAATTTTACTCCCTCCGTCCCATAATTATTGTTCACTTTGTCCAAAAAATTTTGTCCCAAAATTATTGTCCAATTTGACTTTTTATGGATCAAGTTACACATTTGTTCTTTATCCATAAAATCTTAATGGTTAAACGATTACTTATGTAGGGATATATCCGGTTGTTTAAGGTAAAATATAGTTAAGTTTGACCAAAAATAAAATTTTTCATTTTAGTAAACCTGGACAATAATTATGGGACGGAGGGAGTAATTGTTAATATAATTTGTGTTTTAAAAATAAATTTTAAACTGAATAAGTATTTTAGAGCGTAAAACTAACTATTTTTCTCCTCCCTTTCCAACAGGTTTCATTTCCGCCTGCGTCCTTTCTAAACTGTGTTGGATTGATCGACGCTGAAGTCTGAATAGGGCAATTTATTGCGCTTAGTACTGAAAACTGAAAGCCATTTTGTATATGATGCAGAACCGCATATCAGATTAAGTTTTCTTTTTTTCTTTTTTTTTTCTCCCAGGTGTTTTTAACTAACAATATACTTCATTGTTTAATCCTAACATATGTTTTCTTAACTGAAAAGTTTGATCCAAAAGGATAGCTAACTCATTCCAAAAGAAAGGGGAAAAAAAAAACATATTTTGCGCGTACAAATAACAAGCATGAACCCATTGAATGGTGTACTCATCTCCACGTAAGTTTTGATCCTTCACTAATTATTTATAAAATTAATTTCCAGGAGGAAAAGAAACTATATCAACTGATGTCACACACCCAGCAAATATGAAATTTATGCATCTTTTCTCAGAAATCAGAATGCTCCCGCAATAAATTAGTGCAACAAACTATTGACATGGCTATCTCAAAAAATATCATTTTCTTTTCGTATTTTTTGCAAATGTGTAGTGTTGCAGATTCTAGGACTCTACATGAAAAATAAAGTTGTATTTTTATCAAATTTCTACTTTTTTTTCCTACTATCCTAGAAACTATGAGTACATTCTAAAATGGTAAAATCAAAACTTAATGCAGAAGAAATAAATGGCTCTGTAGTCATATTGCTGAAGAAAAAAATGGTGCTAGATAAAAAAAAAAAAAAAAATCATCTCACACAATCCACACGTGCCACGTCAGCTAAAAGAAAATTCCCATTCGTTTCCTTTTAATTATGCACCCACTTCCCAAAGAAAAAAAATTGCAAGCTTAAAAATACTTGTAACGATCCGAAAATGTTCCTCATCAAGCCCACCTCCGCCAGGGCCACCACCACCACCACCAACGCCCTCTCCACCACCATTTCCAATTCCCTTCCTCCCGTCGTCCTCCTCCTTCCCCACTCCAAAACCTCAGTTCCCCTCCCAAAACCCTCTTCTAATTTCCCCCTTACAACCACCTTCAGGTCCTCCAAGCCCCTTTATTCGTCCCCAAAGATGAGTTGGCTCAGCAAATTAGGCTTTGGGACTCGAACCCCTACTGAATCCTCCATGGACTCATCTATTGCTCAAGGTCCCGATGACGATACCCCTGCTCCGGGTCAGCAGTTCGCTCAATTCGGAGCTGGGTGCTTTTGGGGCGTGGAATTGGCCTTCCAGAGACTCCCCGGTGTTACCAAGACAGAGGTTGGGTACTCACAGGGTTATCTGCACAATCCATCGTACGAGGACATCTGTACCGGGACTACCAATCATTCTGAAGTTGTGAGAGTTCATTATGATCCTAAAGAGTGTAGCTATGAGAGTTTGCTTGATTGTTTCTGGGATCGCCATGACCCCACCACTCTCAATCGCCAGGTGAATTGCTGTTTTCTCTTTCCGTCTAATTTGTCAATGCTAGTTCTTTCTCTTCATTCGGTTAGTGTTATCTCCAGTTGAAAATTGGACCGGTTTTGTACTTTTGTTAGCTCGGTTTTAGTCTATAATCCCGTTTTTGGAGGATTCCGATAAGAAATGATAAATGTCGTGACAGCTCTGTCGATGCTTGTTTTCTTGATTAGAAAAACCCTCCGAAAGGAAAATAAAAACGGGAAGATAAAACGAAAGAAAACACAATTGTTGTTTTACAGTATACTGCTTTGTGTTTAAAGTTTAAAATGTGAGCTTTAACGAGCTTTGTTCATCTGAACATGTTGGCCTCTGTCGCAATTAAGCTGTTGGTTCTCTAGTGTTTAGTAGAAAAAGCATACTTGAACCTTTTTGCTTCATAATTGTGTTTAGCTTTTGTTGGTCGTCTTGTCTGGTTATAGTTTGTGTTATTTCTCTGCGCCACCAAGGGGATTAATACTGTAACTTGTTTACGTTCAATGTTGAAGTTTTTAATCTTCACCCTGTGTTAGACTAGGATCAGAAAATGAGACGCTATGCTGTCATGAAAGATATAAATATTGAGAATAAATCCTTCTGTCGGTGAGGTGTTAAACCTCTTTCCATGGTCTGTAAAAGCAGGAGAATACTGTCCGATGCGTGGTTAGGAATGGAACTACTAAAACTTTTCTAAGGGTTATTTAGCTGTTCTTTGCACTGAGTTCATTGACAACCGAAAAATTGCATTTCATGTTTCTTTAAGTTTGAAACATAACAGGCTTTGGAGTACCTAACTATTTTTAGCTGCAAAATACAAAATGTAGAAAAGCTAAAACCTTCGTATATAACCAAGTAACAACCTACTTCTGTTTTAATTGACTTTGTAATGCTAATTTGGGCAGTCATTGAGGATCATTTCCTCATTTTGAAATTGCTTGTTTACTTAAATCGAACATCTTGCCTACTCTTCATTTTGGTTCTTTATGCCAAAAAGATATCTGCTTCTCTTTTTTTTTTTTACACAAAAGTGTAATAAGTAATAACTGATTTGTGCTTTTTTTGTTTGAAACAATGTTATGTCTCTAATTATCCGTCTTTTATACTCTTTTTTATCATATTTTCTGTCATCCCCCTGATTGTTTTCATTGATAAGGGAAGTTCCCTGCAACCATGTAAGGGCAATCCCTTAAGCTCCAAATTCTATTCTTTTCTTGTCTATCGCATGCGCCTTAAAATAGAAACTTCAAAGCATTTATACTGTGCTTGTGTCAAACATTTTGCCACGCATTGTGCAGGGTAATGATGTTGGAACTCAATACAGATCGGGAATTTACTTTTACACCCCAGAACAAGAGAAAGCTGCACTTGAATCAAAAGAGCGCCAACAGAAGCTTTTGAACAGGAAGATTGTTACTGAGATTTTGCCTGCAAAGAAATTCTACAGAGCTGAGGAGTATCACCAGCAGTACCTTGAGAAAGGTGGTCGGTTTGGTTTCAGGCAATCTGCTGCTAAAGGATGCAACGATCCAATTAGATGCTACGGTTGAGAGGCTTTTATTTGCAACGTTAAATCCCTTTGGATTAGTGTTTAGTGCCTCCACCCTAAAGTATGGTTGTGTAGAGTTCTGGGTTCGTGGTATGATTTTTGTGTTACTTTGAGAAAATTTAATGCAGTATGAACTTCTCTTGTATGTACAACTTAGTGAATTATGATATGGATATATTCCAGCATTAGTGCTTTCTGTGAAATAAGGTGTAGAATTAAGTATATGTACATGAGAGTCAGTATATGCCATGACCTGTTGATAACTTACCCTTCGAAATTACCATTGGACACTTTTTCGAACATTTGTACAAGAATGCAATTGAGTTAGAGCATTCGAGAAGATTCGCTTTGAAGAAAATAAGAACCAATAAGATGACTTCTACCAATGCATCATTGTTTCCGATGGTAATAACAATAAAAGATAAGTTGGTACACGTTTTGTGGAACACCTGAAATATAAAACCTTCGTACTTCTCGGAACTGATAGTGGGAATAACATGATTTCCGAAAGTAATGACAATAAAAGATAAGTTGGTACATGTTTTGTGGAACACCTGAAATATATAACACCTTCATACTTCTCGGAACTGATAGACACTTACCATATTACCACGAGTTTGAAGATGACTCGTCTGGGTCCCAATCGGTCTTTCCATCCAAATCATCTTCGTCCTTCCCGGTCCAGAACCCCTTGAATCCCCAGTTGGGATCACCATCCTCCTCTTCAATATTTGGAGCCGGCAGCAAATTCCCGGGATTGTCATCAGAAGGCTGCGGAAACTGAGGAGGAGCTTGAACATATGGAGGATTGTCAACAAAAGGCTGTGGAAGCTGAGGAGGTGAAGGATTGTCAACAAAAGGCTGTGGAAGCTGAGGAGGAGCTTGAACATATGGAGGATTGTCAACAAAAGGCTGTGGAAGCTGAGGAGGAGCTTGAACAAATGGAGGATTGTCAACAAAAGGCTGCGGAAGCTGAGGAGGAGCTTGAACATATGGAGGATTATCAACAAAAGACTGTGGAAGCTGAGGAGGATCTTGAAGCTTTGGCACATCAGTAGGAAGTTAGAGCGCACCTAGCCTAATCTCTGCTGCTTTTAGTGTATTAGGATTCAGCACGTTCGAGTCAATGACAAACAGCTCACATGTAACCTTTCTGAGTTGAAGAGCACTTTCTCTGGGTTGAACACCACTTTGCAAGTCATAGAGCACAGTGCCATAGAGCCTCTGTTGACCCACAACGCTAAATAAAAACACTTGATCACAATCTTTCTCTTCTGACTGGACATCATCACTTCCGGGTGCTTTGTTTTCTACCAAACCTTCCGAATGCAAAAGGTGAATGCAATGCCCAACAGAATAATTGGAATCAACATTAGCTACATATTTCGCCAGGCAAACACCATCTAGATCTAGGCATGGGTCTAAAGATTTAACATATAATCGGACTGCCTTTGGAAACTCCACATCATTCAATTCACTATGTATCCTCAGAAGAACCAACGGTTTTTTATTAATTCCCACTCTGGAGAAACCTCCTCAGTTACCTTTGCTTTGCCTTTCAACAATCTCCTGTGTTTCAGTTCTTCTAGGTGTTCATCATCCTCCTCTTGCACATCAGAGTTTCCATTTCGATTTTCAGTCTTCTTAGTTAACAGATAAACAGGGAAGGGACAATCCTTACAGCACTCATTCACCATATATTTGATCATAAAGCTTTTCAGCAGGTCCAACTGCACAGGCACACAGAAACATGTGCCAATTACCATAACAGATAAGCAAGAAGTTTCAGCTTCACTACACAAATATATTTTATCATATAAAACAGCATAGTTCTATTTATCACTTCACTTATCTTTTAACTTATTATCTCTACACTGATGTACAATCATCAATACCAAACAATTACTGATATTAGGCAATGTACACGTAATTGAGAAAAATCAGAGTAAATTAATAATTTACCTCATCTGCAACACCATCTTTTAGGAAGAGGGTGACTTCAGTCCCGCGGTGGACTTTGCTGCTAACGGTGAAAGAGTCGCCCCCTTGGGACTCCCAGAGGTATTCCACTTCATCGTTATGCTTACTAGTGATGGTTACTTTCTTAGCGACCAGAAACGCAGACAAAAAACCCCCCTGGTCTCTACCACCGTGACAGAATTTCTCCAACAAATCTATTAAAGCCAAACGATTAGATCCCATCGGATTTCGCAAATACAAGGATATCAAAATTTTCAAATCCGAAAATGCATCGGAAGCATTTCAATTGACATAAACAATTAACAGTTACATCAAAGACAGCATAATGATCGGCGAAACTTGCCTGATTTTTTTTTGCCGATTCCATTGTCGATTATGGATAGTGTCTGGCGAACTTCATCGGCGACAACCCTAATTGAGAGCTCCGGCTGTTCATCCTGCTTGCTTTGAATTTATGGGCATTTCAGGAAATTCAATACCCCTAATAGTTGCTTCTTAGAGTCTATATATACACGCGCGGCAAAATCCGATAAACACAGTAAATTCGTACCACGAAAATTCTCCCCGGCGGAAAGAGATGGCGGTGGCGGATGAGCTGTACGAGTTCTCTCCTGAAATGAAGAACATGATTAAGTTCGGAGATCAGATCTTCCGCAGTAAATTGGCTTTTTTCAAAGAATTGATCCTTAATGCGTCTGAGGCCTTGTACCAGCTTTTTTCGGAGATTACTGATCAGAGCAAGCAGGATGAACAGCCGGAGCTCTCAATTAGGGTTTGCTGCTAACGGTGACGTCAGTCCCCCGGTGGACTTTGCTGCTAACGGTGAAAGAGTCGCCCCCTTGGGACTCCCAGAGGTATTCCACTTCATCGTTATGCTTACTAGTGATGGTTACTTTCTTAGCGACCAGAAACGCAGACAAGAAACCCCCTGGTCTCTACCACCGTGACAGAATTTCTCCAACAAATCTATTAAAGCCAAACGATTAGATCCCATCGGATTTCGCAAATACAAGGATATCAAAATTTTCCAAATCCGAAAATGCATCGGAAGAATTTCAATTGACATAAACAATTAACAGTTACATCAAAGACAGCATAATGATCGGCGAAACTTGCCTGATTTTTTTTTGCCGATTCCATAGTCGATTATGGATAGTGTCTGGCGAACTTCATCGGCGACAACCCTAATTGAGAGCTCCGGCTGTTCATCCTGCTTGCTCTGATCAGTAATCTCCGAAAAAAGCTGGTACAAGGCCTCAGACACATTAAGGATCAATTCTTTGAAAAAAGCCAATTTACTGCGGAAGATCTTATCTCCGAACTTAATCATGTTCTTCATTTCAGGAGAGAACTCGTACAGCTCATCCACCACCCATCTCTTTCCGCCGGGGAGAATTTTCGTGGTACGAATTTACGAAATTGATTTCAGTGTTTATCGGATTTTGCCGCGCGTGTATATATAGACTCTAAGAAGCAACTATTAGGGGTATTGAATTTCCTGAAATGCCCATAAATTCAAAATTCAAAATTTGAAATATCTAAACATTTGGCGGTAAAGGAAGTAACTTTATTGAGTATAACTGTGGTAAAGTGTACTCCCTTTCAAACGAAGTATTATTTTTTTTTGGATAATAACAAAATTGAACGGAATTATAATTAATCTAAGGCTCTGTTTGGATGGATTGAACTTGAATTGAGTTAGAATTACAATCCAATACAATTGAAAATGAGATATTGAGATTGTTTCAATCTCAATACCTTTGTTTGGGAGATTAAGGTTCTAATATCACTTCTAGTGTTTTTTTTTTTTTTTCTTGCGTTAGGATATTTAGGAATTTAGATAGTTTATTAGAACCAGGTTGTCTTTTGTCACGCGTTGCGCGATTAGTTTGTATTCGCTGTGTATTGTAAATAAATTTTTTATATTGATATTTTTATTGCAAAATGTAAATTTTGAGATAAGTAACCCATTTTCTTTAATTTATGTTACAAAAATTTTTTAATTTGTTTTGCTTTATTTACGTTTTTATATTTAAGGTATTGTCTTTTCACTATTTGTTTTTCTTGGTATTGATCGATTTACAACGGAATGTAATTAGTGTTAAATTTTGTGATAAATAAATATTAAGAATGAAAATTTTTTTGTAGGCAACAATTGTAGATAATACTGAAATTAGGGCCATAGTTTTTACAAAAATTATTAATTTCACTGACACTCACCATTTAATTGCGGTTCTTGTTACAACTCTTTCAACCAATCTGGATGTTTACGTAGTTGTAAATGTCATTGTTTAGCATAAACATAATATATTGCAACACAATAAAGGACAAAGCTTACGAAGTATCCTAAATTATATTGTGTTTTTACCAGAAAAATATTCCATACACAAATTATATGATAATCCAAACTGGATAACCATTTTGGAATAGAAATTAGTAAAAATACTTATATAACATACTGTAACATAAAAATAATACATTATAGATTCCACTTTCTTGTTTCTTTTAGCAGGTACATTGCATAGGTATAACTCTACTGATGGCCTATAAGGATAATTTGCTTCTTTTTTTCAGATTTGATAGATTTTCATAATAGATTTTGGGAAGTGATTCATACCAATGATATCATATTCTTTACAAAATTAATACACGGGTGCCTTTGATTATGTCAATGAAATTGATTAGAACCTCAAGGACTAAGACCGCACTTGTTGAATAAAGTGTCCGTGCCGAGAGCAGATCGTCTGACCACCGTCGCTCTGTCCTACTCTGTCCAGGTGCAAAACGACTCCGTTTGGTCCAATGAAGGCTGGAAATCTGATTTCTTTTAACTCGCTGTCAAATTCTTCCAGTTCCAATGTTCCATCGTTGACAGTCAGTCAACATTCCCCAATCCCCACCTTCAATATCTCCATCTCCAACTTCAATCTTCCATGGTGTTTTCAGGTAGAGTAAAAAAATTCGATACCATAAAAAAGAAAAGAAATTCTGGGTGAAACAAGTTTTTTTTCCCAGCTATCATGTTTATGAAACGCTTCATAATTAAAGGGGGGAAAATCTTCACAACAACGATGTGCCGATTTTGCTTCATTATCAGGACCCCGAAAAGGAAATGGCCTGGAATGGAGTCGGTTTGGATTGAAGCACTGTTGGTTCCATGATTTTTGGGCCCAGGGACATACGATTTTTAAGCAGGCGATGCCCAGCTCTGGATGCTACGTTCATGATTTGAGTGATGTTGTTATGTTGTAATTCTAGATTGGTTTATGGATTTTTAGGCAAATAAAGTTGTTTGTTCCCTCATTTGGAATTGAAAAAGGAATTAGATTGGAATACTCTTGGAATATATTTATAATACTATTGGATTTATGATTTGGGTAGTGTTTTGTTGAAAACATGGAAAGTTTTGATTATGATTTTTGCTGCATGGTTATCAGTTTTTTAGTAAGAAAATCAATTAGCAGGGGAAAGAAAAAACAAGGGAAAATTTTAATTAAGGGCATAGGAAGATTGTAGATTATTATTAAGGGCATGGGTTTTATTAAAATATTATTAACAATACTAGTATTGTGCCCGTGTGTTGCACGGTTGATACAGATTTGATTCTTTGAAAGTCATTATATATATATATTAAAAGAAAGAAAGATAATCGACGCGTGTTGGTCATTGAGACCATCAAACCTCAATTAACACGTGTCATTTGCTAATTGGTTAATCATTAATCAATTAAATTTTTTGTAAACAGTTAATAAATTATTTACTATATAAGATTTTTACATATATTACAAATTCCTGATTATGAGTTTGAAAATGAATATTTTCGAAAATTACTGAGAAACTCCCGACTTTATAAGTCCTTTCATTTACGAGTTTAAACTTTCAACCTATTGTCATTTTTACCCTTAAAGTTCCATTTGTGTGCTACTTAGTCTTCAAGTTTATCAATTTTACATTTTCAAGGATGATTAATTGTGTCTCATATTTTATTAGAACTACATCTAATCCCCCAAAGTCCCCTTGCCTATAAATAGGCCATAAGCATATAGACATAATTTACGCATTTATAAATATATTTTTTAATCCAAACATAACATTAATTAGTGGCGATAATTTTTATTATACAACTTTTGAAAATTTTTGTTGTAATATTTTTGACCAGATCTTACAAATATATCTCTCAAAAATAATATCAATACCTCTCATTTTGATCTAAAATTGATTACTCAAAAAAAAATACAGTTTTAAGAAATATTTAGTAACTACATTTTTTTTAAGAGAACTAGGACGGTATATTTGTAACTGCAATATCTAATTAATTCTTTTGAAAGATAAATTTTCAGCATTGACAAATCCGCACAAAACGCGGGACACACACTAGTATTTCGATGAACAGATATATTAAACTGGACTAAAATTGTGGCTATAACAAAAGAGAAAGTTGGAGAAAAATGATGACCGCATCATACATTCTCAAGAGTTTCCTTGTAAACAACATTTGTTGTTGAGCTGCAAAGTTCTCCCTTCTATTGAAAATAATTATCTTCAAACGTTTTCTGAATTTTACTCTGGAGAAAGTAACGTAAAGTTGTCCATGGGTGAAAACTGGACGACTGAGAAATAAGCCAACATGAGATAACGACTGTTCTTGACTTTTATTGATCGTCATAGCAAAACATGATACAACCTAGAATTGCCTCGGTCTTACTTCAACAGGCATCCTCTCGTCAGTCGAACTAATATCCATACATGGAATGAAACATTTGCGACTGATATCAGCACCACATATAAAAGTATCTTAAAAAGAATAAAATTTAATTAGATGTGTGCTTAGATATTAATTTAAAATAATCATTTTTAGTGGCATATCAAAAGGGATTGAAATTGACTATGTTTTAATTAGGTTATCATTAGATAAAAAATCGATTATCACATTCAAATACACTTGGGAATATATTAATACAAAAAAAAAAGAAAAAAAAAACGGGGAGTCTCATTCCCTCTTTATTTTCATCTTTAACAACATGTCACTATGCACCGACCTCATTAAAAGGTTTAGAGTTTATGATATAGGTTAAAACCTGCAATGGTTTTGTCCGTTATTTCAATATTTCCAACAATTCGTTGAACCAAAAAAAAAAAAAAAGAACAAAGAATTGCTTGCCATAAGAGAATTTCTTTGCTACTGTTATTTAATTATGAAAGGGCCATCTTCCAGCTGGTCG